CAAAGATCTACAAGATATATAAGCAAAAGCACACTGTTAAATAAACCTTCCTCATGATGAGATTCCATATATGTCTGTTAATTCATGCTACAACCAATCATTGTCTTTCCAGCTGATTCTGTTGGAGGATGCCTGGAGGGAACTGTTTGTTCTGGGCATTGCTCAGTGGGCCATTCCTGTGGACTCCACGACTCTTCTTGCTGTCTCTGGTAGGTCAAATACTCAAGCAGCTTACAGAAACAAAACAAGTGCCTAATCAGATTGTGTGACTGTAGTGGTGCAGCATTTTTTTCCCCCTCACTGTGACACTTTTCACTCATTTCCATCAATAGGAATGAACACAGAAAACACAGAGTCGCAGCGGATGAACAAGATCATTTCTGAGATTCAAGCACTTCAAGAGGTGGTCACCAGATTCCGACAGATGCGCCTCGACGCTACAGAGTTTGCTTGTTTGAAATGCATCGTAACATTCAAAGCAGGTGTGTGTTAGCAGTTCGCTGAGAAATCTAACCAATAAACCTGTTTGACAAAGTCAGAGTGGATAGTTGCAGCCTTATCCGTCTCAAGTTAATCTGCTTCATAAACCTAAACAGCCTCTTTTCTTTTTCTTTTTTTTTTTTGCAGTTCCCACGCAAGGCAGCACAGAATTAAGGAGTTTCCGCAATGCCAGCGCCATCGCTGCTCTACAAGATGAAGCACAGCTCACACTTAACAGCTACATACACACTAGGTATTTAAAATAGAAACTTTAAATGTAGTGCAAAAGTATTGTCTTCCATGAAGATATTCATCTTGGTAGAACCCAGGTTTTGTTAAAACTGGATGACACAATGTAATGTACAGTAAAGGATAACATTTTTTGTTGTTGCAAGTGGAAATCTATATGATAATAGTATACAGATGCAACTAAATACACCATCCAGCATGTTTCATGATGGTTAACACTAACACATTATTGGAGCAGCAAGACATTCACTTTATGCGTCTTCCAGATTTGCACACCTAAAACAGGAGACTGAAACCTTTCAGTGGCCAAGAATATTTTCCCTCTTTCCAGCTAAATTAAACTTTTTCAGCTCTCCAAACTTTAGAATAAAGTCTTTAAAAAATAAATATATTTTTTGATAGCTATCTTCTATATTGAACTTGCTTTAAGGAACTTTAGCAAAGAGGATGGACAGTTTTATTCAGAGGATTGTTTTCATTGGATATGTTTAAAATGCACATAAGCAGCTTTTTTTTAAGCTCACGTCAAGAAGAACTGATCGTTAACTTTGATGAGTACTATTATTGAATTTAACTGAACTTTTTCCATGAGTAAAAACAAATAAAAAAACTACTGAAACCTTATATCTACATTAAAATACATTAGTTGGTTTGTTCCAAGTTTTAGCTTAACTTACAGTATGGAGGGTCTTATAGGAGTTTCAAACAACGATTTTGGGGATCAGAAGCAAAATAATCTGCATTAAAAGTCATTGTAACAGTTTACGTTCTTAAGCAGAATTTACTTTGGATTTACATCCAGACTATGGCTGGACCACTCTAATAGAAGCATTGGCTGTTTGCTCTTACGGATGATAAACCCCAACCTGAGTTGGTGGGTATTCTTTGGACTACTTGGTGTTAAGATCCATCCAGCTTTTTGTTCTTTTACATCAAAATTTCCCTGTATGATTAATGTTTTCAGGTTCACCTTCTGTATTATTTTCCACTACAAATCCATTTTGCATCTAAACCCATAATGGTTTGATTTGACCACAGTACCTCCATCAACAGGTTCATGTTGATGGTTTGTTATCTTGTAGCAAACTACAGCAGGGTTAGAGTCTTTATAGAAATGTGGCTTTTCTATAAAGTCACATTTGTGGAGTATAAAACGAAAAATTCCTATTATATAATTTGCACACCTGTTAAGAGGACCTTTTAGGTTCCTCCGGAGTTGCTTTCAGTCTCTTGGCTCCTAGGAAGAAAAAAAAAATATCTTTTTCTTATCTGTCTCAACACTGAACAATACGTTATTATAATTTCAAAGCTTGGGAATATAGTTTAATAACATAATTCACTTTCAAATGTGACGTCATCTCTCTACTGTGGTGGTCATGATTCTGTTTGTTAACAGATACTTTAACAAAACTCTTAGGGTCTTCACAGAAGAGCTTTGTTTATGTCTGTAAAGTAAATCACAGTAACATGATCTCTAATTACACATTAAGGTGGATCTGATGACGATTTGTTGACCTGAATTATACTTTGAGAAAGTACTCTTTACAAACATTTAGAATATCCATTTATGAAAAATCTTCTTACACTTATTACAAAGTTATGCACTATTTTGTGTTGGCCTATGAAATCAATTTACTATTAGATTAGAGGTTTACGAGGCACTGCAGGTTAGAATCTAATTCATTTGTTTCTACCCACCATTGTTTGCTTTATGTAGACCTGACATCAGCCAAATGGATCCTGGTAAATATTTAGATGTTTTCTCTGTTTCAGGTACCCAACTCAGCCCTGCCGCTTCGGGAAGCTGCTCCTCCTTCTCCCGGCACTCCGCTCCGTCAGCCCCTCCACCATAGAGGAAGTCTTCTTCAAAAAGACCATCGGGAATGTTCCTATTACCAGGCTTCTCTCTGACATGTACAAATCAAGTGATATATGAACTCTTTACCCATCCAGAACCGTGGTAAAAGTCTCTAAGAGATTCACCTAGGTCCAGAGAGAAGATCAAATCAACGTAGGTGGAGCAGATGCAGATTCAAGTTTTGTGGAAGACGAAATCTTTTAGGCTGACTTAGACCATATCCTGTAAGCCTATAGGCTTTACACTGAAATAAAGACTTCAAAATGAGCCAGCTTGCCACTAAAGTTGCAATAGTTAAGGATTAGGTTCTGAAAACTGCAGTTTACAGTATTTAAATGCTGCCTAAAGACTCTGAAAGAGCACCTGCCAAGTCCATTTGAAACAGAAATGCTGTATATTACGATGTCTTTCGAGTGTCTTTGAGACCACCAATGAGCTTGACAACCAATTAAAAAATTCTAATTGCTGTGTCCAATCCCAGTGGAGGAAACCAAAAAGAAGCCCAAACTGAGAGAGGGGCCAAGTCGCTGATCCTCTGTCCAGTGCTGAAACCAGATGCACAAAAAGGGGCAACAATGAAAAGTGTCCGCTCCACAAAGGAAAATGACTGAGATGAAAAAATGTTGCTGTAAAATTATTCAAGGATGTCATTTCAGTGGCTGCTGTCCTGTTTGTGCCAGTGTCCTGTTTTCAGACGCAGCAACATTTTGAAATGTGTGTTTAGGTTGATTTTGTGAAGACAAACTAACATTGGATGAAATAATATTCAGCACTTGGAAATGTTCTTTTGTGGCCTGTGTTGATTTTAGTTTGCTGTATATACCTTGAGTTATAACTATTTAGAGTTGTAACAAAGAGAATAAAAGAGACAAAGCTTGAGCTCAGCTGTTCTCATAGATTAGATATCAGAATAAGCTTTTTGAGCTTGCAGATTACTCACTTTGTCCCTTTAAATTTGCCAGAAACTTCACAAAACATGCAACCATTAAGCGTCAAATTATTATTTAATGACCTGAAACACTCTTTATTCAGTGGCCTAATAGTACAAAGCAACATAACCCATTTGACCTACTCCTCTGACCTGTTGTCAATATGCAAACATACATCTGAATATTGCTGTATTAAAAAAATATAAATACAAAAACAACTTAAGGTGCCAACTGTAGGTGCAGATTGGTATTTAAAGCTAATTTCTCCAACAGACAAAAGGTAAAATCAAAGGTAAGAAGGCTTTTCTCTCTGCAAGTTGAAGAGAATCCAAATGACCCTTGGCATATTTCTAACTGGATATTTGCCTGTTCTTATCAGAAATGGAATAGCTCATTAAAATAGTTTCCGGTCTTGCATAGTCATGGGTTGAAAGTTAGATTGCAAAGGTACAGTTATGCTTCTATTTTAAAACAAGTAATGATTAGTTGTTTAGGCAATCCCGCTGTCAGACTCCCAACACGTCCCCACTTCGAAAAAAAATGAAAACAGCAAGAACCACAAAGACTAAATCACAGAACAGCAGTGATGACCAGTACAGATGTAGTAGTCTGCTGACTTACTGTAGAGGTCCATACTTCAGAGGTAATACTTTCAGGAATAAGCAACATTTGCAGCTGCTGTTAAAAAAAAACCCTTAAGGAGTAAAAGGTTTATGCTGAAATTTAACAAAAATAAAATGTTTGGACACAATCACAAGAAATATGATTGGCGACTAAGATGAGGCCTTTAAGCCAAAAATCACTGTGCCAACTGTAAAACATGGCGGTAGTAGTATCATGCTGGGGGAAAGACTGGAATATCTGTTACTGGTGCATTTTAATGAAGACTGAGAACTGAGTCCTTGTTCTTCAACTTTAACCTAAAGTTTAATGAAAAAATAAACACCCAAACTCTTTTTTTGTATGAAAAGGACAAAGCTTTTCAACCTGAAGCTCCTAGAACTTTATAAGACTTCAATCCTATTTAAATCGTTGCATTACTACTAAAGTGCAGGTGATCGAAGGGAACATGTTCTACCATTTCAGAAAGGAGCAGACAAACATGCAGCCAAAATTATTTGAGTGTGTTGATGGCTACTGGAATCTTTAGAGACCAATGAAACTTTAGGTCTTAAATAAGTTCAAACGGAATTAAAATCAACACATAAATGATAAAAAAAAATTATACAAGTATAAGGTTCATAGTAATGTTACACCTAGGTAATTATTTTAGACTTGATTTTATAAAAATAGCTGGTTATGAATGTTGAATGAATTATGATGACAAGCCTTGTCCGAGTTCTGCATTATTCAATCAGACGCCTCCATTACTTTTAAAACTCTTCATAACGATAAGGTAGATTTCTAAAATGCTAGAAACAATTTCACATTAATAACACTACATGCAAGCATGATGTGGATGACAAAATGCACTTTAGCGTGGAGGCATTTCACCTTTTTTTATTGGAAAACTTTTGAAAATAAACAAAAGAAATGGCACAGCAGTATACAAATCTCAAAATGCATATTGCCAGTAGAAATACTGCAGTTCCCTCTGTGTAAAACCGCATGCTAGAAAACATGGTGATCGTCGGGTAGGTGCTGGTGGACACGATGCGAACAGACACACACATGCATCCTTTTTAAGACAACAACCAAATGTGGCTTAAAAGTCGAGGTCCGTCTAATGTGTGTTCGGGTGCTGGTTATGGAGAGCAATGTGCCAGTCAGTGATGCAGAATGGTGTGGGACATTACACAAGCATGGCATACAGAGAGGTTTTATTCAAAAGTAACATACAAAGGGATATATAGAACATGGCTAAACGATAAATATATAATATATTTTTGTTAGTGGAATTTTTAGACAAAAAGAAAATATGTATAAATCACTTTAGACCACAAGTGTGTGTACAAGATTCTTGACTCCAATCAGAACTTCAAACATCAATAAGAGTGATTAGCGATTAAAATTAAATAGCCAAGAAATAATATATGAGACAATGCAAGAAGGAAGTAAAGGTCGCTCAAATTTGAAGCAGTGAAGAAAGCTTTGGGTTGTCGGGCCAAGCTGGACTCAGAATGGCTAAGCCAGACCAGGGCAAGCAGAGCCATTTATTTTGTGTTTATTTTTTTTTTTTAGGCTTGTCTGATTTTGGATGGGGTGTAGTTCTTGTCCACAATCTCCTCCTGTAGAAACATGTGTAGGCAGCGTTCGTTCTGAGCTAGAGGGTGTCCAGCCACTCTGAAAACAAACACATAAAAAGAGCAAGAGAAGCGGTTTATGTTCATGGAGATGAGGGAACATATAAAACTGCATTGGATAAAAGAGAAACAAACATTTTCAACAGCATTTTCTTTATTTGTTATTAAATCGCTTAAATGGCCGAGGTAAAGTCATGAATAAAGTAGATTAATAACATGTGCTGAACTGGAAATCTTGAATCTTTCGGTAGCTGATGCAGATTTTAAGTAAGTAAACATATGATAGGTATACACTTGGTAATAAGTCCTATTAGCTAATTTTATATAAAAGACAACACGTATAAACACAAAAAGAAACAGGATGGATTGTACTTAAAAACAAATCTGTCTAATAAAGTGCTGATAGTCCATTACTGACCCTTTGTATCAATCTTTCTAATGATTAATCATTCTAATATTAACTATAAAAAAAATTTCTTCATCTCCACCTATTTCAAAAGTAATAGAGGGGTAAATAAAGAGGATCCAGGGTTTTTAAACCTCAATCAAATAATTGTAAGTAAATATAGAAATTGTTATTTTCCAATGTAAGGACAAGGTTAATGCTTTGTATAAATTTTATAAACACAATAATTGAAGCTCCTCATTGGCTTAGCTTCATTATACTTTAAATACACAGTCCATATAACTAAGAGCTTTTCTTTCAGTGGTGATTCCTGTAAAATCCTGAAACAATGAGCAAAGTCTTTTATTATCAGGCTCTTCTTTAACTTCTTCTTTAACTTAGCTTCAGCTTAGCTTAGCTTCAGCTAAGTTAAAGAAGGATTATTTAGGTCAGTGTTAACTGACTTTAATAATCCAAGCTTTCCCTTTAGTTTAGAATAACTACATTACCCAATAGTAGAGCTGGGTATTTTCGCCATAGCCCTGAATCGATTCGATTTTGATTCATACAGTTCTAAATCTATTAATTTTGATTCGATCTGTTTTTACAATAATGAAAGTGGTTCAACTGTGTTTCAAAATACTCATGTATTTTATTTTTTCCTGTCATCTTAAACACAAAGTGCAAACTTGTAATTCGGACAGTTTAAACTTGAGATGTCAACAAAACTGTCTCAAAACTGCAAACTTGTCTGAGAAAAGTGAAAAAGTGAAGCCTCACTCGAGCAAGCAGACGTGACACAGTGGGGACACAGCAGACATGCATGAGCTGCATTATCTCCACTGCACAAACCATATTATATCAGCGTTATCTGTAACAACTACAGGGTGTTTGCTGGTCAACCCCCATTTGTTAATGTCTTCAATCAACCTATTCACTATATTTGCAGGCTTGAAGTACTCTAATTGCATCTTTCCTGCTCATTTGAATGTGAACGTCACGTGCGTCACTATAAAACTAATCGATCTCATTCCCTAGACATCGATTTTGCAAAAATATAAAGGAATCGATTCAAAATCGATTTTTTTACCCAGCCCTACCCAATAGTGCTGCATGATTTTGCCAACAATCTAAATTGTGGTTATATTCAACCAATATTATAATTGCAATTTTCCTTTGCAATAAGCACAAGCATGTAGATCTTTCAATTTCAGGGTTTCAGTTTTTCATGAGTCCACTGCTGCAGGACTTTACTGTAATCTTTGCATTAAAAAAGTTCCTACTCCTACAATCTTCGCTTCCCTTTTGTGCGGTTGCAGACCCACTAAAAGTTTATAATCGCTACCTAAAGAAATGAAAAATTAAATGTAATATAATGTGACTAAAACCCGACTGCCTCTGCAATTTGAAAATTATTTTGCTAAATTGCAAATGCAATTAACTGCCTAGCCCCATTACCTAAAGCATCTCCCCCTCCAGCATGGGTGTTTCTCAGGAACTCAGTGAATCTCAGTTGGTACGTTGACAGAATACCACTGGTGACATTAGTCCAGGATGTACCCAGTCCCCCCCTCGAAAATGACATAGTGCTGCACCAGTTGTCTTTGTCATAGCCAAGCTATGTCTCGTGAAAATGATTTTAGTGTGTACCTACATCAAATGTATACTCTTAGCACTACATGTAGTGAAGTTACTGTTGTTGCTACTCTACATTTACTGTAAGCACTTCCGAGCGTAATGGGTGATCTCCTGTCACCGGTTTGTCAGCTCTGTCCTGCAGTAGCAAAAAGACCTCTGACCTTATGTAATTATAACTAGGAATGTCTGAGGCAATGCAAACATAAAGGCTGACACTTTCAGTACCTAGATGATAATAAATAACATATCAGTTCTAGCTCTCCTCTTAGATAAAGCATGCAGAGACTGAGGCTCTTATTGCAGTTTGGGTGGAGGACGCTATCCAGGTGATGTTGGACGGAACAAAACATAATCACAAAGTTTTCCTAATAGAGAACAGTAGTATTGTAGATCGTTACTAAATTATAATTATCTTTGGTAGAATTTTTAGATTACTCATTAACTTAACATCAATGTTAGCATTCAACACTGTTCCATTTAAAAAAAAATGCTGTTTCCTCTTCAAAAGTGGTTTTGACATCAGGTTTTCCTGAAGTTCTGTTGAGATGACGCACAGCATCATAACGAGAATGAACCAGTGCACCTGAGACCCTTAAACACGACATTCTTCAAATGTTAAATCACTCAGAGCAGATCAACACGATAACATTGGGTGCATGGACACATCTTAACCTCTGATAGGAAATAATTGCAGAGAAATGAAACAGCACAGAATGATTTGCAGGTCAAGTACCAGAGAAAGGACCTAGAGGGAATAGGAAAAAAAAAGAAATAAAAATTGACCTTGCCTGAATAGATCCTGCTAAATGAGTATGGAGAAATTGGCCCAGAGGACAAGAGCCGTGGGGGGAGAGCCTGTTAATCTGTAAAAACCTTTTCCAACAGGAGATTCAATCCCCTTTTACCTGAAGTATAAAATCATGTTAAACTGCCGTAATCTAAAACTGATCGCTCTCCTTTCTCCTCCCTCTTACTTGTTTCACAGCAACAATCGTCTTTAGCATTTCAAAAGAATTACTCTCCACAATGCTCTCAATCAGACTGAACAACGTTGGCCAGTAATACGTCTGAACAATAATATGATCAACAGCAAAGCATCATTCACAGGAAGCAAAGACAGGGGGGGGGATTGGGGTATAAATCTTAATTACCGAATCATCTTCCTCTACTTTAACATATTTGTGTTTTTTCAATTTCTCGGCTGTCTTTACGTGCTTAATATTTCAACAGAAAATACTGGTGCATTTGCACATGAAACAAAGATAATGGCCAAGTCTGCCATCGCAGTAAATGATTACAATCACACTGTAACTTTTATTGTTCGGCATCTGAAAATGAGGACATGCTGGATCAAAAATAAGCAGAGGTGCACACACCATCCCGGGGAACCACGCGCTGTAATTTCCAGCAGCAATTAACATAAATTACACATCGACAACAAAACAAATGTGGGAAAAATTATGTTGTGGGGGAGCACGATTGAATTCTCTTTTGGTTTTCTTGTCCTTTGCAAGATAATTATAAGAGAATTAAGGACGACAGTGGGAAAAAAGGCCAGCCCGTCTCGAAGAGTTCAGTTTGTTAACAATATGAGGAGAAGTGAAAAAGTTGCATGTAGTTACCTCACAAAGTGTCTCATTGTTCTACAAAGTTAAAGTAGCAACTGCGAATAACAGCAGCTGCACAGAACAACTTAGAAAAAAAAAAAAAAAAAAGTGGATTGCTTACTTGTTGAGAAACTGCTCCAGACCCTGCCTCCGCTCCTCGATGAAGGAGTCATCAAATATGCCATCATCTCCTCTGAATGGAAGCTGCCTGAAAAGAGCTTTTCCTGGGAGAGGTGGTACGACCACCTAAGAACACAAAACAATCCAAATAAATAGACCGCATCATTTATTCCTTCAAATGAACATATGCAACACATGGGGATCTGATTCAGTATGCTTAAAGAAACATTTCTGAGATCTGAAACTTAAACCTTTGCTATTTCACTCACTAATTCAGTTCCAACATGTTATTTCAAAACCTTTCTTTCTTATTCTGCCCTTTGTAAGGGATGGTCAACTTTACATGCCGAGTGCTCCTCAGCCTTCACATTGAAGTTGTCATATAAAAAGTTTACCTTGCTTTCTCTCTCCAGCTCCGCTCTGAGCCACTCAAAGTCACTGTACCGCCTCCGTACAGAGGACTCCTTTAGTTTGAAGATGGGTAGGTTGGTCTGAGGAAAAGCAAAGGCAGCAAAGCTGTCACATTTAAACCGTCATTTTGATGCATATTAGCTTATAATAGTCCTTAAATATGAGGAATCGCAAAGGATAATATATAAAAAAAAGGTTCAAGCTGATTTCAGCTCACGTATTACTGAATGGATTCATCTAATACCTAATACAAATGAATAAAAATAAAGCAACAGAATTATTTCATTTATATTAAGCTTGTAACTGCTCCTAGTAAAGATAATACCAAGGCATATACGGTTAACCTACATTTTCAAACCCACTAATATGTAGTTTAAAATTCTTTTAATTCAGGCTGAAAGATCTTCCTTTTATGCTAATGACAAGCATTTAGATGTTTCTCTAAGGGTCCATTATCGTATCACTTAACCGTTACTGCTGTACAAAAGTGGTTGCTCTCTTGTCCGCAAACCCCGCTTAAGCATTTTATCGCCACCTAAAGGGCTGGAGTTAAAAATTCAGTGCTTATACCTACTAAACTTGCATGCCTCTGTAATGTGAAAAGTATATTGTTGTTTTTTATATTGATTATATTGCAAATGCAATTAATTGCATTAACAGAAAAAACTTTGATGTTCTGGAAATTCTGCCGGGGAATTATGGAGAAGAAACTGTGGTTGATTCCTGTAGCTTGAAGTCATATAAAAAAAAAAAAAAAAACCTTAAGAAAGTTTTGGAGTTTTCTCAAAGTTTTTAAAAGTCAAGAACTGCCTCCGTGCACAACAACTAACCCAGATATTAGCCTGCATAACAATCCAGCCAATATCAGCTGGTTGTATTCGCGTTAGAAAATAAAAAGAGCAGAAAAAGAAAGTAGGTTGTTTTACACAATATGGATTTATCTACAAAACTTAGTCCATGTTTAATCTTTTCAATAAAGCGTGAAAACACAAAAAATGTTTTTGAGATTTTACATCATAAATCAAAATAGACTGTTTAAAATCTTTTGTCAAAAAATATTTGGTCCAACCGTGAAAAACTTTTTTTTTAATTGGCTAGTTTAGGTTGTTGTAAAAAGCTATGTACATAATACAGCCAAAGTCCTACTTTTTTCATTTTTTAATCTGAAACGGGAACATCATTAAATTGTCTGTGGTGTCATTTACAGATAATTCTTATAAAATAGTTAGAGGTAAATGGGATGTAGGTTGATCCATATTTATGAAGCCAGCATGATAGCATGCCATTCCTTATTGTTTTCTAATTATACTTAATTAATCTAAGGTAAAAGCTGTTAACGTTAAGGCAAGATATGCCTTGTAAAGAATATTAGAAAAGATAAGACAAAAATATTAAATTGAACCTTGTGGAGCAATGATATGCTAAGCAGAAAATTATGGCTTGAAAATGTTTGTCCCTAAAAGAACAATAAGAAGTGGAAAACAAAACAACAACAAGCCTCTAAATTCAAAATGGCCTCAAGAGAAAATAAAATAAAAGCTCAACCTAAATTTTCTGCACACCAAGGTCTGTTTCCACTCAGACGGCTTACCGTTTTATTGTACGTGTTCATGTATGTGAATTCACAAGTGTGTACATAATTCAAAGTTGCTGTTTACAAGTACGTGAGAGTGAATTTCATGTTAAATGAGGAAGACGTTCAGACATCAACATGAACAGTGAAGCAAACAGCAAATCATAGTGCAATGCCAAACCTCTTTACCAGTGCTGGCAGTGCATGGCCATTCTGTGACAATGTACAAACAAGGAGGGAGTGAATGAGGATTTAGTGGGCAGGGTGCATTTACAGAGGGTCAGAATTCAGGGAATAGGGGAGAATAACAAGTAGGTTGAGTATGAATACAGCAGGAGCAGCAGACTGATCGATAGGCACAGTGAGTATGTGTACAAGCAAGATATAGAGTTAACTAAAAGCCCAAGTAAACGGTTGAACAAAAGAGAAACGACAGGGTATATGTGACCATGAAGGAAGAACAGGAAATCTGGAAAGGTTGGGAGCTGCATCTGCTCAGCACAGGACTAATTGAGGAGCAGGCTGAGCAGAAGTGGTCTTTTAACACTCAGGCTTTCTCCTGCTCAGTATTCTACCACTTCATTTCCATTGATCCTCAAAATAAAGTCATATTTGCTTCCATTGAAACACCTCTTATAAAGTTTCATTTCAATTAGCTTTTCTTTATTCCTCACATTTTCTCCCCTCGTATGTGTTAGAAATGGCTAAGTTCCAAACAAAATCAAGCTAATGACACTGATGTAAAATCTCATCTAACATTTTACGCAATACTCATTTTCAATCTTTGTATTACACTAAAACAAACCTTTGCAAATGAGAGTTTGTTTGGACCACAGTTACTGTATGGCTGTAGTACAAGATGCTGCACTAATGTTTATTTTTGGTGGAGAGTGAGCTTGTTTTAAAATTTCTGGTTCGACAGAGCCCTTATTTGCAAATATACTATATTGTATTAAACTTTCTTGTGACTTCTGTTGTAAGTGTAAATGATAAAAAACATCACAAACTCACAAACCAAGCTAAATAGGAAAAGGTTGGAAAAGGGTGGGAGGCTTCCAGACCTTTGAGATTTTTTAATTTTTATTTGCAAACAAAAAAATGTGTGTATTGTTTTATCTATTCTCATTTATGGCTATTTGAGAAGATACATAAACCAGACTAAATGTGAGATTAAATGTGTCATTTAGTGTGGCCCCGATGAACGAGACATCGGAAGATTGTTGATAAGAACAATCCGTTGTTTTTTAAACAATGTCTGTGCCTATTGGCCAATGCTCTGACCAATGAACGCAACTGACTGTGATGTAGTAATCGCGACAGGAAGCTGGTGGGGGAGTGTAAACGAACAGCCTGTTGGTAAAACGGCGAATACGTCCTCCTTAAAAATGAATGAGCGTAGAGCCTCTTCCTGCTCATGTTTCAATGAAAACCCCAAGTCTAATCCTTCCAAAACTGATTCCAAAGCCAAGTCAAAGAGAACAGTTCAATACTTGTTGCCATCTTTCTTGTTGTGCTTTCTCCAGTGTTGTGCATCTTTGTCTTACGCCATCAAAACCGTGATTAGCCAGCCACTTCTAGGGATTGGGGCATTGATCGAGGCTAGACCACTCGCAGGCAAAAATGATTTTGGCCGCTGGCAGGTGGGGCTAGTTTACTAGGCTAAAAGGTATAACATTAAAAACAGAGTGTGAACAGAATGCAAAATGTGAAAAAAAGGGGTCCTCTCTGATCCCTTTTGCACTCTGCATTATGTAACTCAGTACTGTGTGTCAGTCTTTGGCCAATTCTCATTTATTTACATTATTAGCAAAAAAATGATATCCAATAAAATAAATAGGGTATTAATGTCTCAGGCTTCCCATTAAAAAAATAAATCGGCACTTTTTTTGTTTCTAAGGAAGATTAACTAGAGTGGAGGGTTTTGAAAAGTACAGTAAAGTAACCAGATTAAAATGACAGTTGTATAAAGCAGACTCTTTCTGCATGCTGACTGAAAGCTCTGGCACTCCTTCGTTCCCACAGAGTTTTTCTAAAACGCCCCACGTCTGAAAAGCTATTGCTACTTACTTAAAGTTCTCTCGAGGTAAAGCCATCAATGAAGCCTTCACTCCTCCTCCTTCTCAGGTCACAGGAGAAGTGGATTATCATAGCTTTATCGCCCCAGTGCTCTAGCATTAACTCTGCACTCCTCTGGCCATGGTTTGTCCCCGCTGCGTCATGTTACCTCACAGCATGGAGCACCACAAAGTTAATCCCCTCCACAACAGATCACAGTTACAGGTAATCTGCCACCGCCGTGACTCTAATCCTATCATGTGCACACAGGAAAACACTTGACCAAGCACAGGCACAAACTAACACTTGTAACCCATGCATGAGATGATGTGCGTGATTTCACCAGTCGCTTTGTTAACTCTGCAAACTAGAAAAGGTTAAAACCACCGAAGCCCGTTTGTGCACATGCTGAAACCAACCTATTTTGAGACAATGGTGGCAGCTGTGAAAGTGGGAGTTATGAAAGTCACCTGGACTTCCAGTTCCCTTATCCTCTCTAAACCTGTGATTAAGAGATTGGCCTTTCGGGACAAGGGGAGGGATGATAGAAATCTGAGAAGTCTCACTCTCTCTTTCTCTAGCTCGCACAAAATGCTCAGAAAGAGGCGGTGCGTGAGAGTGTGGAGAGTCAAAGATCAGGTTCCCCTGGCCTCTGTTTTCTTCACGGCTGGTTAGAGGTTAGGGCGCGAGTGTCTCAGCTTACTCGCCGCTGTAGTGATCAGAACACGGGACCAGCCCACCGTCAGTCAGGTCTTAGCTTTTCACTGGCTGTGTAAAACATCACACCGCGCCTCTTCTACTTGCGGAGCGATGGAACAAAAGGTGAACCATGAAAACCAGCCATTTTCAAAGAGAAAAGCACAACAGGTCATATTTAAAAGCAAAACATATAAGAGGAACATGTTCAAAAAAAAAGAAGCAGCAGAAAGCAAGCTGTATCTCTGTCAGAGTAGATCCCCAAGCTTCACTTCAATGATGGGCGTACAAGGTGCAATCTGTGCTCCATAGGAAGAGCATGTGAATCATAATGTGTGGGACACAATGCCTTGGGCTCATTGAAACCAGCCTGAAAAGAGGCAGAACCCTTAAAACACAGTGAGACACTGAAAGAAGGGGGGAGAGTGGACAAAGATCACTCATCTCCAGAGAGAATAGTTCAAGGCCACCATGCATTAGCTTTTAGCAGGATGGATTAAGTCAAGTTAGAAAGTGCGCATCCTAAACCTCCACCATCCCAGCCCCCCTTACTCTCCCTTATTGTCCCCTTTCAGAATAATGGCATTAAAAATGGCAATATAATACCATCTCATCGCATCATATTCCAAAATAGGGAAAAAAGGCTGTGAACAAAAGCGTTGGGGCAATGGGTCTTTTGCTCTCATCTCTACATGTACTCTCTCACTCGTTCCCTCGCTTGCCGGCCCCTGTGGCCTGACAGCCTACCCTCTCTCC